ATTCCCCAATGCTGTTCCCCTCCCCCAACTCCCCCAATAAAATCTTTAAACAAAAAAAGAAATAAATCAAACTATGAATAATAAAATGGCAATAAGTACATATCTATCAACAATTCCTTTCAATGTAAATGGATTAAATGCTCCAATTGAAAGACATAGGGTAAATGAACAGATAAGAAAACAAGACCCATACATATGCTGTGTACGAGAGACGCACTTCAGATCGTAAGACACACACAGACTAAAAGTAAAGGGATGAAAAAAGATATTTCATGAAAATTAAAAGAAAAAAACAGCTGGAGTAGCAATAGTTATACCAGAGAAAATAGACTTTAAAACAAAGGCTACGGGGCTGACCAAGTGGCTCAGTTGGTTAAGAATGTGAGCTCTGAGCAACAGGGTCAACGGTTTCATTCCCAGCTGCTGAGCTGCTAACAGGTGGCAGGATGGCTCACCTGGTGAAAGCATGTGGTCCTAAAATCAAGGTTTCCGGTTCGCCTCCCACATGGGATGGTGGGCTATGCCCCCGCTCTGCACCCCGCAACTAAGATTGAACACGGCACCTTGAGATGAGCTGCCGATGGGCAGGTGGATGGTGGCTGAACTTGGAGCTGAGCTAGCTGTGCTCTCCATAACTAAGATTGAAGGACAACAACTTGGCTGTTTCTCTTCCCCAATTCCCCAATAAAATCTTAAAAAACAAACAAACAAACAAAAACAAAGGCTATAATAAAAGACAAAGAAGGACCTAGTAATCCCACTTCTGGGTATTTATCTGAAGATACCCAAAATACTTCTTTGAGGAAACGTGTGCATCCATATCTTCACTGCAGCATTATTTATAATAGCCAAGATATGAAGGCAACTTGGATGTCCCTGAATACATGAATGGTTAAAGAAGTGGTACATATACAGAATGGAATATTAGGGGAGCCATAAGAAAAGAATGAAATCTTGCCATATGCAACAATATGGATGGACTTAGAGGGTATTGTGCTGTGTGTAGTAAGTCAGACAGAGAAAGACAAATGTCATATGATTTCACTTATAAGTGTAATCTAAAGAACAACATAAACAAACAAACAGAAACAAACTAATAGATACAGAGAACACTCTGATTGATACCAGATGGGAGGGGGTTTGGGGATAGTTGAAAAAAGGAAAGATATTAAGAAGTACAAATTGGTTTTTCCATAGTAGTCAAGGAAATGTAAGATATAGCATAAAAAATATAGCCCATGGTATTTTATAAACTCTGTATTGTGTCAGATCGGTACTAAATTTATCAGGGTGATAGATGGAAGTGGGGCTGGGGGCCAGGGTGAAACAGGTGAAGGGATTAAGAAATACATATTAATAATTTCAAAATAGCTATAGGGATGTATAGCAAAGCACAGGGAATATAATCAATAATAAGGTAATAACTATGTATAGTACCAAGTGGGTACTAGTCAGGGGGATCACTTCTCAAATTATTTAAATGTCTAACCACAATGCTGTACACCTGAAATTAATAGAATACTGAATGTGAACTGTAATTGAAAAATTAAAGGGGGGGGAAAAGGTGAAGGAGAATAAGAGGTTAAAATATCTAGGTATAAAACAAATAAGTCATGGGGATGTAATGTACAGCTTAGGAAATATAGTCAATAATATTGTGATAGCATAATATGGTATCAGATGTTTGCTGGACTTATCATAGCGGTCACTTCTTTAGGTATATAAATGTTGACTATGGTGTACTCCTGAAACTATTATAATATTGTATGCTAGCTATATTTTAATAAAAATCTTTAAAAAATGAGCAAAGAGGATGAACAGACATTTCTCCAAAGAAGACACACAAATGGCAAATAAGCACATGAAAATGTGCCCAACATCATTAACCATCAGGAAAACACAACTCAAAGCCAAAATGAGATACCACTTCACACCCACTGGGATGGCTGTAATAAAAAGACAGATAGTAGTAAGTGTTAACAAGGATGTGGAGAAACAAACTGGAACCCTCATATACTGCTGGTGGGAATGTAAAATGGTGCAGCCACTTTGGAAAACTGTCTGGTAGTTTGTCAAAGGTTAAACATAGTTACCATGACACACAGCAATTCTATCCCTAAATACATACTGAGGAGAATTTAAAATATGTCCACACAAAAAATTGTACAGAAATATTCATAGCAGCATCATTCAAAATTGCTAAAAAGGGGAAACAACCTAAATGTCTACCAACTGATAAATGGATAAATAAGGTATGGTTTAATCCATACAAAGGAATAGTTTTCCACCTTAAAAAAGAAATACTCATATATGAGTACTACAACATGGATGAACTTTGTGGCCCCATACTTTGATTTCATTTAATGTGCAATGTCCAGAATATGCAAATCCATAGAGACAGAATAAATCAGTGGTTGTCTGGGGCAGCAATGGGGAGTGACTGCTAACGGGTAATGGGGTTTCTTTTTGGAGTTATGATAATGATCTGCAATTAAATAGTAATGATAGTTGCACCACCTTCTGAATATACTAAAAATCATTAAAGTACACACTTTATAAGGATGAAAACTTTGCAAAATGAATTATATCACAATTTAAAAACAGTAATCCTAAACCAGATCAAGAGTTTCATTAATCATAAAAGGAACAGTATGCATTGTAAGGATAATTATTATCAAGAAATGTTATAAAATATTTGTTTCTGAATAATTTCAAAAATATAGGTTGGAATAAATGATTTCTTAAACTGTATTATTTATGCCCATTACAAAATCCATATCAACCAATATCAAAGTGGCTCTCCTCAAGCATATTTATAAAAATATACACAGTATTCTCTTGCCTCGCAATTCTTAAGATACTAAATAGATGCTGCTATGAGTATAGGGAATGGGGAAATCACCAGACATATTCTAAATTAAACTTTTTACTATTTTTTAAAGCGGAAGCAAAAGTTGAGAATGAGATCTGCAGTGTGATGTAGGATTCAGAAGACCTTGTTTACAGTTCTAGTTCCATTAATGATTTGTAATGTAACTATGGCAGGTCACTGAACCTCTCTGACTCTGTTTCTTCACTTGAAAAGTGGGGATATCTACTCATATGATGAGTAAATAATCTCTGTGATAAAAACATCTACCTCTCTGTGATGCAACAGGAGGTAAACAAACCTAACCAAACCCCTCTGTGACAAAGCTAGGGAAGGCACAAAGGGGCATGGGATAAAGAAGCAGGCAGGTCAAGGCATCATGGTGATGGCACATTACTAGAGCACTGGCGTCATGATCCTGACTGACTAAAGAAGCCTCAGTGACAAAAATACACCTAACCCTTCCTTTACTGATTTTAAGAGAAGAGGTGATAGACAGCTTATAGCTGCTCCTCCCTAACTTGGAAAAACTGTCCAACAGTTTTATATATTCAAACATCTGTATTAATGTTCTGAATATATAAATATCCGACTAAAATGTATAGGTACTTCATTAATTCTTAAATTTATAAGAAATCTCATCTCAAATAAATATACCTTGGTGAACCTGAACGAGTCTGTTTACCTTTCTACTCTCTAAAAACAAGTATAATAAATGGGCAATGAAATTAAAAATATATTTATTACAATAAGCATATTTACCAATTATTTTAGTTAATGGTGGTGTTTTTTCAGCAGTTCTTCCCTAAAATAAAAATATGAATTGTAAATTAGAATTCTTTTCGGTAGAACACAATAGCCTACATTTGAAAAGTTATAATTAATCATGAATTTATAAGTTGCCTTTATTCCAATTCAACATATGAATATTCATAAGAGGCATAGCCTGATGAAGCTAGAAGGAAGTTAAAATATCATCTAACCCAACCCATTCACTTTGCACACAAGACATTGCGCTTGGGGGGATCAAACAACTTGATCGAGGCAATACAGTTCACGGCAGAGCCATAATGACAATTCTCGTCTCCCATTCTCATCCAGGGCTCTTTCCACATTGTACTGATGATGCCTTGGCCACCCAAGGTGACACTATCATTTAGATACATTTTTGAGATTTTAAATATTGTCTATGAAAAGTTTAAAACTATTTGTGAGTACAAAACACATTACACAAAAGTCAAATTTCAGAAGGATGAGGTATTAAATTAGTTCAGTCTTCAAGCCCATTTTTGCCTACAGTGATATTTAAGTCAGTTCTTCCTAATACCCCTCTGCACAAATTTTCTTCAGGTTAAGAATAACAAGCATGCTTCAACATATCCCCTTTAAAGCTCTCCATACATTATTAATTTAATATACTATACTATGAATTTTACACGTAGAAATCATTGCAAAACAAATTACATAATGTCTGAAAATATACATTCTACCGTATTTGACTTACCGTAGACTCCTCAAGTGAATGGGTTAAATGAACATTGTTTATATACTCCTGTCCCTTCTCTTCTAACAGATACTTACACCTAAACAAGAAGGTTAAACTTTAGTAGCTGAAAAGTTACTAAAGTGTAAGTAAAGATATAATCTCCATCATTAAAATTCCATTAATTTGCTTTTCAGTATTTCTAAGGAGCCACAAAATAAAATGTTACTCAATTCCCCATCCAACTATCATTCTAAGGTTAAAAAATATGCTTCCTGTGTTATGCTATTTATGCTAACGTTAGTAGAGCAACAATATCAACTTGAGCACTTTCAACTTTTAAGCAAGTTATTAAATTAGCACCTTAACATTTTTGTTAAAGTTTTAAACAGTTAATCTTAACAAGTTTTATTTAGAGTGTTAACCAATTGTACATTTAAAAGGAATTCCTTAGGCTTTCAACATTTCCTTTTAAGGCTTTTTAAGGTTACAATTTATTTTCAAGAGATCACTCTGATGTTTTAACTTGTACTATTTTGTAAGCCAAAAATTTGCTTCACTTCTATATCTGTGTACTTTGTTTTACAGAGGCAAAATGGCAAAAAGACATTTAGAGTATGTCATCATCATTCTAAGATGCCACTGATTCTAAGAATCATGATTATTTTATGTATCATCACTGCCAATTAAATTATGACCCACCACCAGATGTGTCCTGATTTCAGAGATCTGAAAATGTGAACAATTGTGTGTCTTAGAATCAACGAGATACAGTAATATTTACTGGGGTGTGATGGGTTCTTAAGGAATCTCCTTGGCAATGTGGCCTCTTTTGTGCACACTGTGTAAGAGCCTACTTCCAACAACAAAAGTATACATTCCTAATTTGGTATTTAGAAATGGAATGATCATGTCAGAGATATAATACACAAGTAATGAATGTTGTGTTTTCATCACCAGAGAAGGCTTAGGTGTTTTTTCCCCTGTAAAATTGGTAACCCATTTTTATAAACATGGTGTAAATTTCAAGCCATGGTGAAGGAAAAAAATTGTTGAGGTGAAAAGTTATTCAAGTCTTCCTACTGCATACTGTCCAATTTGTCTGTAACTGAATGAACATTTAAATATCTTACCCTGGATACCACTTAGCATGTTGTTCCCAAGGGTCCTCACTGGGCTTCCAATTAGTTAGCCCTCCTCCACAGTGAAAGCACTTTACTTTATCATCTTCACCTAAGAAGACACAAATGAAAATACATGTATATGTGCAACTAGAAACTTACACACAAATACCCTTTTTAACACCATGAAATCATGCATTTTTAAATTACATAAAAATCTCATAGCTTAAAAGAAGACATTCAAATTCACATCTAAGTAATAGATAACGATCATTTGAGGAGGAAATACACACTAAATTCACCGATTCAACTTAAGGTATTTTACAGAAAACAGAAATAAAATCGCCCAATTTCTATGTGGAAAACTATAATTGTTATGTTCTTTTTAACATATGTAACTTGGGACCATCAATACTATACTTTTTAAAATTGTGAAACAGTAAAGTTCGGCATAATGAAATTACAAATTAAATTTCTCTAAGGTTATACCTACACAACACTACACAAATCTTTGATATTTGCTATATGATACTATGTAAACAAAATATTGAAATAACTGATATTTTCTATTTTGGCACCTTTCAATCCTAAAGTAAATGGATTGGATATATAATTTTTCTGAATATCCCTTGAAGCCATCGCAGTAATGGCTCTTCCTAACATGTATATAGTAGTCCATTTGAAAAGCTCTCATTTGAAGCAGTAAGGCATCATACAGGGCAGCTTTGAAATATATAGTCTCTGTACAAAAAAGGCAGATAACAATTTTAATAGCAGCCAAACTAAACTCTCTAATGTTAACTCTTCTTAAGAGGCATAGAGAAAATGCATGTAATATATGTATTGAGAACATACATTAGGTGCTCAATAAATTAGTATTACTACCTGACCCATTCTTCTATCAGGGATATCAATCACCTTCTACATGTCATCTTTCTCCAAAAAATAATTACATGAAGAAAAACATGATTCATAATATGGTAGTCTTTTTTCACCTAAATTCAGTTGTTAGATTACAGATTCAACCTAAGGGTTCATGGAATAATAGTGATATAAAAAAATCATGGGGGTGGCCGAGAGGTACGTTGGTTAAGAGCTGGCTTGGAATGCCATCTCTGAGCAACAGGGCCCCAGTTAGGATCCCACATGAGGGCCAGTGACACTGCACCCTCTACAGCTAAGAT